CAGTAGCTCAATTGATAAACAGCACTGAACGCTCAAATCATAGGTTTGAGTTCTATTACTGCAAATGTTATTTTGCCGATGCAACGTTAAACATTAAATTAATATACCACGAGTAAGAAAAATATCCATCTGACGAGACTCGCTTACCATCTGCTAGCAGCTAGACAGACGTGACAAAACTCAATGCATGAGCAGTTATTGGGCGTAGCATAGATTGGCAACAATTTCTTGCAATGCAGGAGCGGCATTAGAATAATGTGGCGCAAAGCTGACAAAATCTCAAATATTCACACGTGTATCGCATGCGGAGCCACGGAGCGCGGAGTACATTGCACTATAATTCTGACGCACGGACCTAGAGTACTAGATGGTGCATTGCGAATAAATATAGCTTAAGCTAGAACCGCCTTCGTAGCTCAATGGTTGAATGCGTTGCCTAGCATTGAGTTAAATACCTAGACCTGGTGATTATTTAGGTCCTAGTTTCGTGATGCGTACACTAGACTAACTACAAAGGCTTGTTAAACTACTTGACTCAAATACATAAGTATAATAAGATCAATAAGTGAAGAGGACACACAACTTTGTTCGCCCCATGCTCTTAAGGTGAAACGAGATTACACTTTTGTTAGATCTCCTGTATAGTGGCTGAAAGGTTAAACTGATTATCTAGAATGCAATAGAAGTCATCAGCGGGACAAGACCATAGGCAGGGAACAGAGCTCCGTCCAACTTCTGCTTCATGCACCAAGTGGAAAATGGCATTTCACATTAGTGAGCAAAGGTAAAAAACTTATTTTGTTTAATAAAAATACAAATATGTATTCTCATTCTCGATTGTGTTCGGATAAAAGTAAGTGACTTGCTATCCAAATAGATTGCAACGTAAAATGGAAATTAAAATTCATTTTTACAGTAAATAATTTCCATAATCCTACAGTCAGTAGATTTCCGCTGTTGATTGCCCTTATCCATTGGAATAGTTAAACTAATTACTTCTAAATATTATTATAGATGTAATCTTTGAGCACTCATAGATGTATGTAGGATGTTTTGTATGACTGAGTGAATGTGCATTAAAACAACTATGACTTCTACTGCGAATAGTAGACTTCTTTGTTAGTAAGAGATTTAAACTCTGTGTTTAGTTAGAGCACCCAATATCCCCTTGCTAATCAAGAAGGTGGATCCAAGGTATGCGATGAGGCAATTCCATTATCTCTATATCCTGGTTCCGATGCCACAGGCTGGCAGCGCGCCAGCGGCTTAAACCCCCTATCTCATGCCGGTCGGCTATCCCCTGATAACATAGGCACAAATTAACCAAATTACTGGAACTTACCACCCTACCCACTATTGACTCACGTTCTAAACAATTCTTGACAATTTTCCAAATCCCATAGCTTCGAATCATTAATTTGAAAAATTGTTACGAAATTTTTAGTTAATTGAAGCCTGGTTTTTTCTACATTGCAGTTTTAAACAGTGGTATTTTTAATTCGTGATCTTAATACGAACAACAACGAAAGAAAATTGCTAGAGGAAACTTTTTCAAATTTTTGATTCTTAAGTATTCACGACATTTTTCTTCGCTTTAAATGTTTTTATATTTATTTTACTCATTATGTTTTTCAATATTCAATTAAAATGGTTTGTGAAAATTACATTATAATATGAGCACAATACAAATGTAACTTATATATAGCAAGTATTTTAAATTTTTCTTTGTTCTCTAATTAATTTACATAACATATGTGTGAGAGTCATAATCATATTTATTTTTTCAATTGAACACATAATTTTGTCAAGGTTTTAATTCGTTTATAAGGAGTGTTATTTTATTTTCTAAAAATGACTAATTAAAAATCGGTTATAAATTTAAAAAAAATTTACTTTGGCTGGACTTTAACCGGCATACACAGCGTTCTGTTGCTCTAGCCGATTGAGCTACCGCGTCAGTATCATGTGCAATAGCATGTGAAACATATTAAAGAGTTTACAAATGTAATAAATTTATTATTTTAACTAGTTTAAATTGGAAATATATTACTTTATAAAGGATACATTTATTATTGTACAAAACAAATGACAAATCTTGCTTATCCTAATACGAAAATGTAACAAATTTAAATAAAACGCAAGGTGTGTTAGTTTATTTCTTTTTATTTATTTCAATTACGGTTCGATGTTTCGGCTGCTTATCAGAACCCCGTGACCATGTCGGGTCGTAGTAAAATAAAAATTTCGTGTTTTAAATCGTTTAAATATTATTAATTTCTTTAAATACAATTTTTAAACTAAATAGTCTATCAGACCAAAAGATATTTAGATGTTTACGAATTAAATAATTTTGATTACAGCGCGATACTCTGTTCAGAAATATTCGCTACGTTGAAAGGACAATGGGAAGATCCCACACAAAGCACAATGGATAGGACTAATTTATTCACCAGGGCGATAATATACTGCTTTATCTGTGTAGCGGGCGATTACACCTAGCGGCAATGATAGGGGGACATCTTAAAATATTTTATTAAAAACCAACATTTACCACGACGGTTACTGACGTGTGTATACTATACAAGAAAGCAGGACCCAATTCGTGTTTTGTAGAGCCCTTTGTTGTTGTTAAAAGTCTTCTAAATTTTAAATTAAATATTTACGAAATTATTTCCGCAACGGTATTTAGCGTGCAGATCTTAGTTAAGTTATTGTAAAAATATGTTGTTTTGGCGAATGAAATTTATGCAAAATGCACAATAATGCTTGTTCAAAATTTAATAGGGGCTTTTATTTTGAATTAACTTTGTCATAAGGGACATCCCCATCTTCGCCTCACAGTTACTACGGCTGCTGCTAAGCATCCGAAACGTCGGACTCAAGTAAAAATAAATTGTAAATGATAAATGATATATTTCACGTTAAATATTTAAAGGTGTTTTATTTAAAAGCGTACAACTCGCGAAACTGTTTCTTTTTTCGGCCTCGTAGTGTACCTGGGGATCGTTCGTGACCCAGTCCTCTCAATAACCTGGATGTTGACCGATACAATCAAGAAACGGATACTGTCCTAAGGAAAGATTCGAACACTTGGTAGTCTATACTTATAAATCTTGTAATTGCATCATTTATTATTTATCATATTGTCTAAATAATTCCTAATTAGTTACCCATTGCATCGTCTGCTACAAAATTATAAATACCAGATTTCTTGCTTTGATATGTATAAAGCAACGAACCGGAAAGTGATCTTAGTCTTGTATTGTGCTTATTATTTTTAAAAGATTCTTTTAGTCCCAAATCTAAAATAAAACAGCATCTATTAAATAATAATAAGAAACAAAAGGTCTCTTAGTAAAATAAAATGGAGGTATTCGGTTTTTAACTAATACTGAAATTGTTACTACATTTGTTGTTGTTATACTAAGTCCTTCATTTTCTTTCAAAACTTGAACAAAAAAAGTTACGTACTAACTTGAACGAACGTGACATAAGACAATTAAGAAATAATTTACTCTACACGTGAAGAAGTTTCCACCAAATAATAATAATTACACAAATGTTAATGATAGGAGATATTTCATCTATACTATTATTACGAAGTTGAAGAGTTTGTTTGTTTGTTTGAAAACTACTTGTTTGATGTGGTTTTGATTTTTTTTATCACTTATCGAGGAATGCTCTAGGCTATAAAACTTCACGTAAGAAACAGTAAGAAATATGGAAAATACGAATATTAATTTTAAGGGTTTTTCAGTGCGGGCGCTGCAAAAACGGTCAAAAAACCCAGAAAATATGTATTCAAGAATGATTCCTCTAAATGATCTAAAATATGTCCACGATACTATGTAATACGTTCATTAAGATTAACTCGCAATAAAGGGGCGTTACCTGCATCGTATGTAAGATGGGGGAGATTTGCAAAAACAAAATTTTAATGCCCAAAATAACTATTATTACGCGGACAAAGTCGCCGGCAGCTAGTAGTTCATAGTTGCCAAATTTTATCTTTTTCGTAGGAGTAAAAAAAATTGCGGCACGCTCAACTCTACATAATACGCCATCTTGACAAAAAACATGAGGAACAGAAAAACAAGAAAGAAATAAAATTAGCCACAATATAATTATCAGACAATAAAAACCACGGCCATTTACTAAATTAACTAGATGATAGTAATTAAAGTTGGGGTGATCTTTTACAAAATTTATTTTAAAGGCCGGCAAAACCTCTGATGCTTATGGTCAGCGGAATTATTTTCCACCTATTGTTAAAAAATGTCACAGGAAAAAAAATTACGACTTCGCTATATGATTAACTTAATGAAATTTGAGTACCCTCGTGACCACGACTGCTGCAAAGCATTCGAAACGTTAAAATGTTTTATTTAAATTAGCTATGTGATACCATTAATTATTGAAGTTCATGACCAACTTGATTAATCTACCTAATTACCACTTTTTAAATAAAATACTTTTAACGATTTAAAACGCCATATGTATTAGTTAACTTATTTACAATTTAATTAAGTACAACCCGACGTTTCGAGCTTTACAGCCATGGTTTGCAGCAACCACAAACATTTCGAAGTTGTCCCTATCCTTCTTGGGAATCGAAAAGCCAGAGATGCAAAAGTGCCTTGCAGGTACAGCGGAGATACTCAGCTGAAATCATCATCTTTTGGAGTATTATTTTTATTGTATTTAAAAAGTCTTTCTAAAAATTGCTCCTTGGAGACAATAAGGAGTGACATTTTCAAACAGATTTATGTAATAATTTTTTCCCAGTACAAAAATATTTCAATAAGAATTTTTATGAACCACCTGTATTTGTTACTGCCAATGTACGTCATTCTTATTAAAATATGACTCTAGAGAACTGGTAAATAATATTAGTTTTAATTGAAACAGCAAAGTGTCTATTTTGTTAATTTTGTATAAAAGGCGACATATTAGAATAAAATTCCACTATTTCAAATAAATTTCAAACGTTTCAAACTAAAATGTGGAAAATAATTTTCTTTTCTAATTTTATTTGCTTAGTTGTGTTTGCTCAACAGATTAACGAATATCAGGTAAGGAAAAGTGATATAAGGAAAACATTTTCCATTTTTCTCACATGGGACATAGAGCAGAGACAGTATTATTTTAAGTTTAATTGATTATTTTATAGGCAAATAGATAAGTTCATCAGACTTCTTGTATTTTTTTCGAGTTTCGAACCCAAAAACATTTCAGTTTTACGAACTGCCAGTTACGACTTTTCCACTGTTTCGCCATTGAGCCATAATTTAATATTCTAAAAATAGGTTCTTAAAAGTTGTGTAAAATATACATTGAATGTATTCTATTATTATTAGATCACTGAAACGGAACCAGAAACGTCTGCCCCCTTGTCCCATGGGGGGTAAATGGGGCGTCTTTTATTATTATATATTATAAAGACGTCCTGTGTAATTCATATATGAATAGGCGGTTTTATAAAAAAAAAATCAAATCTAATATTGTACATTTTAGTTTAATACTTTGTGCAGTCGACTGCAGACCACGAGGTCTTGGATTTGAGTGCTGAGTATGTAGTTATAAAAAAAAAAACATCTTATATCAGCCTCGATTTTTGTAGTAAGCGTCATCACCCCAGGTCTCAAAGAGAGGTCCTGGTTTTTGTTACTTATTTAGTGGTGTTGGTCGTTTAAACCAGCTTGGAGTGGCCACGCTGCTCTGTCTAAATTCTTAAAACCCTATCATATGTCAGAGGAGATGCCTTAGCCCAGGAGTGGGAAATCAATAGATGTATACCAACCAATCAGTCCTTTAGCTATTTCAGGTGCCCGGCATTATTTAATAAGTTTACAAAAGTTTTTATATAAAATTTATCCTATTTTCTAGGAGTATGTAAAACTACCAGAATCAAGATTACCCTCGTCCTTAGAAATCAACGCCGAGTGTATAAAAGAAACTGGAGCAAGTTGCGATGCCTTACAGAGGTTCACGAAATTCGAACTGGACAGAAACAATGTTGCCGACAGGGTCTATGGGTACTGCTACCTCATTAAAATGGGTTTCATTGATCAGAACGGCTACTTGATAAAGGAAGCCGTGAAAGATCTCGCACGAGATAACAAGCACATCGACGAAGTGGGAAACGTCATTGACGCCTGTAACGCGGAGAATACGCTCACCAACACAATTTCAGCTATGTTCGGCATCTTGGATTGTTTTAAGAAGAACTCGCCGATACATTTCACTTCGTATAATATGGTACAAGTTGATTGTAAAACTTGTAACAAATAAGGCCGCACTGTAACCATAGAAACCGCACCACTCGTTGCGCCTGCGACGCATATAGTTTCATGTATCTACTTAAGCTAGAAAATCACTCTCCTACAGGCAAGTCGCACGCTGTGGGTGCGGCGCACAACGCGTAATTTTTATATTCTATATTTACTGTAATTATGTATTTTAATCTAATAAAGACTTTCATAGTGTTTCATTCATTTACAATAAACCCTCTTCTGATTTTATTTCTTTACTGTCACTTTATACTGCTTTCGTAGCGGTAGTTGTCTTTATATCGTTGTCTGGGTTCAAATCCCGGAAAGAGCGGTTTGTAATGAAAATGCTTGCTTACATTTTTGCAGTTTACACATTGAAAGGTATCAATTGAAATGATGGTTCTTATTTAGTTAATTCATGGACAAAGCGCGTTAACAATTTTCGATGTGTCTACAAAATTGACTTAAATATTGAATTTTTACATAGTTAAATTACATTGAAGACTTTGTTGAAAGTGGTCGCTAAGTTCATTTATTAATTTATGAAACTTTACAATTGACTTTCGTTTAACTATAATTCTGTCTTTTTACTTCGTACCTGTAAGTTTTCCTTCATTAATAATTTATAAATAAAATTAAGGGCCCGTACTTAAGTGCGAATGATAATAAATATATACGAAATAATAATAATAGGAAAAATAAATATGAAATGTATATATGTACGATGTTACTTCTGGAAATTTACTAAAATGATTTTTATAGAACCTTATTGTTTATTCTTTCTTAAATTTGAAATAAAACATGTTTATCGCTTTAAAATGTATTCCTTAATCTTGACTAATTTTATTACGATTCGGCTTTGTTACGAGACTAGTTTATATACACAAAAAAAATAGTTAACTAATATGTTTCGTTTTTCAAACCGTTGAAAGCGTTTGATTTAAATGTCTACTGGCGTAACCTACAACAATACTTTTCTTAACTTGTCGCGTTATAAGAACAACTAAGTTATAAAGCTTTCTTGAGAAACGATTCTATAAAGAACTGAGGCGTGGAGTAAAGATATTTTTTAAGAGAATCGAAAGCGCCAAAGAAGATAAAACCACTCATTCGTTACAAAGCATTCCTGTAAAAAATACGACTTTTGGCACAAACATTACTTTTGATTATATCCTATTCTCAGTCAGCGATCTGTTATCGTTGGTTTGATGCCAGATATGAACTTGAACGGATCAGAGATTTTAATCACTCAGTGTTGCCAACACAACAATCTTGGAAATTGAGGAAAATGTTACTGGGAAATGAATAAGCTTTCCTGTGTTTACGCGGAGGTTGGGCGTCTAGATCTCAGTGGAAGTTACTCAATAGGTTCTCTAGTAGAGGTGGACTGAAGGCGGTTTGAGAAATGGTTTCTCGGAAATTAGAAGTATTATCCGAGGGTTAAGACGAACTTGCTTCCGGGTATCAATACTAAAATAAGCAGATATTTAAATATGTTGATCCTTATTGATCCTAAGGAAAAAATTACTAGCTGCTGTCTTCAAGGAAAATTATTTAATTAAAAACGACCCGTTTATGAACAAAAAAGTTTGTATTTAAAATTGACATAAAATTTATCAATACGTGGTATTCAATATTATTTTGTAAATGTTTAAAATGCGAAATACCGGTGAACATATTTCTAATTTAATTTAACGTAGTCCCCCGACCACATTAAATTAAATCGAAAATCTCCGGCCCGTTCTGCCGATCTGCCGTAGTTAAATTAAATTAAAAATAAGTAAACTGATATGTTTCGCGTTAAAGCCGGAAAAGGTGTTTATTTGAATGTATTTGTGTAAACTATGGACAATACTTAATTAAAATTAAATTATGAGATATTATTTTTTTGTGTAAAGATATAAATACATAAATGGCTAAATAGATGTGAAGGTATAATCTGGCATATGAAAAGAAGCAGGTAGTTTATTTTTTTAAACCATTATCAAAGTGCCATGAAATAGGGGCCTTGTTTCGATAAAAACATTTATACTTTGACTACCCCGGCAAACGATGTTTGGTAATAAAACATATTTTTAAGGAAATTTATGGTGGAGATAAACAATTAATCTAGTTTTTATTAAGTACAGGAGAATAGACAAGCATTGGATTCACTTAATGATAGGTGAATCCAATATCCACAACACATCCATACAAGATGCGATGTCGGCCTATTTTAACTTTGGATATTGAGAAGTGCGTATTCTTAATTACTTATCGCGCAAGATGAAAAATACTTAAATTACCAAATTGACCATTCGAAATTGGGTTTCGTGATAAAAGGATGATAGTATAAGGTTGCATGTATGTTTTAATATAAGTCACGTTGTAAAGAATAAAAAAAACAATCCTAAAGAAATATAAAATATGTTACAGGTGAATCCTTATTACTTACGGTATGGTGAATTTCAGACCTACTGAATGTTCATAAACAATAATCCTTATATGACTCTCGTATGTTAGACACTTGTCAAATTCCATTTGTGCCAATTAATTGCGTAATACCGAATATTTAAAACACAAATTGATCTTTAATATCGAAACCGGTTAAAAGCCATCGGACGGTGAAAGTTCTCCGCTTTGAAAATTAATACCGTTTTATTACCTACAAAGTTAAGAGAAGTATTAAAATGAAATCCCTAGCGAACAATGCTTTCAAGAATTTTTCTATTGTTATTCACTTTTTTTCTATCTCATCGATCTGGGAACTTTGTAGACGAGATAATTTTCGACTTTATTTGAAACTACTCAACGAATGAATGATTTATAATTGATTGTCTCTACTAATCGTTCTTAATTGTATATGTATTGTCCGACATGTTTCCTAAATCAAATTTTATTTCGGAATATTCAATTATTGACGACTTCACAAGTTGTCACACTGCATTAAATAAAATTAATTTTATTTAATGCAATTTAAATTTTTATTACAATCTCAACAACTCAATAAAAAGTATAGTTGAAGTATTCAAACATAATTGGGGTTTCAGATTGATAAATGTTCGATTTGTTTGCAAATGAAAATTACACTTTTATAATTATATTTTCATTAAAATTATTTACAAACAGACATCTTTCATCATCATCACAAACACAGACACAGACAGAAGTCTTTTAAGCGTCAATAAATGATATAAAGTATTCTATATTTAATAGTAAAAAGTGTCTCTACTACAAACATATTGTAAATAGTCTTATTTAGTTTTTACTTACTAATAAAATAATGTTGAAGTAATAAAACGTACTTAGTAAGAAGTAATGCTCTTTCCTTGAAACCTAGTTGTTTTTTAATGTAACAGGTCAATTGTTCTTCCGATGCATTTGAAATAGAATAAAATTATATTTTGTTTGAAAACTTTATTTAACACCTGGTAGTGCTATTGGTCAGAGCAGCAGAACGCTGGATGTTGGTTCAAGACCCACCCGTGTCGTCAATTGTTTTCAATCTAAATAGTAAATCTATTACTCGCTAATATATAAAGCCGAAGAGTTTGTTTGTTTGAACGCGTTAATCTCAGAAACTACAGGCTCGAATTGAAAAATGATTTTTGTGTTGACGACGCCGAACGACGAAGGCGTGCCTATAAAGCGCCACGATATGGTCAATGGGAGCATAGAGATAGTGGAAAATATTAAAGAAACGGGATACATTATTCATCTTTAAGGGATTCCGTTGCGCGCGCTGCGAAACCGGTTTCAGATACCCAAAAAATATGAAAGAATGTTTCCTATTTAAATGAGCTAAAAAATGTCCGCGACAGTTTATCTTAAAGATTAACTTTCAGGAACAAAAGCACGCGGACGACGTCGTGGGTAACAACTTAAAATTATAGAGTTATAACTATTCTACGCGGACGAAGTCATTGTCACAGCTAGTATTTAACAAGTAGATATATATTGGGCAATAAGTATAATTCAAAAGCCACGGTTCACACGCTAGAACAAGCATGCTTAACGCTCCTACGATTCTGTAATTTGATACATCTAGTATCAAATTATTATAGGATTAATACAATAATACCTAATAACGGTATTAGTGCAATAGGATATCACGGTTCGATCGCTTAGATACGATTGGTTTCAGAACAACATCTCTGTTTCATCGTTATCAGCCTGTTAACAGTCCCCAAGTTGCACAAGTGTTCACTGAAATTTATTAAAAAGTGTAAGTTATCTTAAACAATGTAATTAAGTCTCAGTGAAATCAAGCCTTAAATATTGGCAGATTTTTTATGATAGATGAGCACAGACAATCATGAGGCACTTGATGGAACATTTAAACTAGTTGCACTATCAACCTATTTAGGCTTTGGATATTTGGAAATTTTATGACTGATACCGAAACGCTATTAAACTTCCCGGCTTTTTCAACTGTAAACGGTGATTCGCGCTACGACGAAATTTTGATATTTCTACCGTGCATCTAAAATCCAGATTTCCAACAAAGCCGAACATGTTTCAGAAAAATTATAAATTTTATAGGTAGATTTTTGGACCCGGCGAGATCGAACTAGTCGTTGATTATTAACCATATATGGCTATTATTAGAAATTATTTATTTTAGTTACCTACGGACCTATACAAGTCTTAAGCAGAACATTTCACATATGCATTTAGATCTAACAAGGAAGTCGATTAGGTCGGACCCAAAAAAATATGAATAAGCCAGCACTCGAGTTTCAATCGCGATGCCGACTATAAATCTCATGAGTTATTTAGTACGACCCCAAGCGGGTAATTCTTCAAAAGTGATATGAGATTTACGTCGGCATTCCTTGTTTCCTACGAATCTGATAGAATTCGCGACTAGTAGCGACGTTAATTTTATATAACTGACAAGAGAATCGGCCCCCGCAGGGAGAACTTGTCAAAATTAACGTATAAATCTTAGCCGCCATACTTTTGGAGACGAAATCGAGTTACCAGTTAAAGGACCACTCACTTCGAGGAAAACCGTTTTGTTTTGATCCTAAGGAGTCA